CCCGTTGTATGTTGTGGAGGGATTGTTCTCCTATATACTAACAAAATAACTACAAAGAACTAACTCAAGATTCTTACACAGGAAATCTGGTCTTGTTGTGCCACACCCAGATGAAATATTGTAAGTGTGTTTAGTTTATTTGATTTTATTTGTTTATAGTTACTAATTAAGGTCTTTGAACATCAATTTAGAAGGTAAATTCAAATTGTTAAATATTATGTATTACTTGTTTTATTTACTATAATTATAGCTATTAATTGCTCACAATTATCAAATTAAATACACATATTATTTTTGTATGTTCAGAAAAATCTAGCAATGATATCTGTCACCAAAGTAGTAATATGAAAAAATAGATTAATTAAAATTAATGTCAAGTGTATTGATAAAAAATAATTGTGAGAAAAGAAAACCGCCTCTAGTAATAATTTATTTTAATCCAAAGCATTTACATTGCTTTTATTTCTTCAGTTTCACAAGTTCCCTATTTACTCAATATTTTCTACATAGAACATGGCATTCTTCGGTCAAATTAATTAACCTCGAAAGTCAAAAGGTTCTTTGTATTGCCAGTCAATTGTATCATTAGTTCCTACTTAATCATGTATTAACTAGAAAAGATTTTGTAACTCACAAATTAATCTTGGATTTATGACAGGGCAATTACAATTATTTTTTGCTCAGCTTTACACTATATATACACATGTTTTCCTCTCCATGACCCCATCATAGTTTCAGACCAAGAAAACAAACATTCCACATACTTGCTTTCAGAATTTGTCTTCCACAATTTTGTTGCCATGGTGAAGAAAAACCCTAGCCTCGGTCGCCAGAAGATTGCAATTGAAAAAATACAGAAGAAAAGCTGTCTCCAAGTAACATTCTCTAAGAGAACAGCTGGGCTTTTCAAGAAAGCAAGTGAGCTGTGCACCCTTTGTGGGGTGGAAATTGGAATAGTAGTCTTCTCCCCTGCCAACACGCCATTTTCTTTTGGTCACCCTCAAGTTGAGTCTCTCTTTGATCGCTTCCTTACCCGAAACCCTCACAGGAAGGGTTCCTTTCATCATGATCAATTAATTGAATCTAATCGCGATGCTCATGTTTGCAAACTTAACTTTCATCTGACACAGCTTCTTAATCAGTTGGAAGTTGAGAAAAAGCAAGGGGAAGCTTTTGACCGAATTCAGGAAGAAGTAAGGAGGCAGTGCTGGTGGGCTGCGCCTATTGATGAACTTGGAGTGCAGCAGCTAGAACAGCTAAGGGCGGCGTTACAGGAGCTAAAGAAGAATGTTGGAAGACAAATCAACCAGATTTTATATGGTGCTAACTCATCAACTCCTAATAATAATGGTTATGGTAATGTCTGTTTCTGAAGAACTAATTCAGACAGATGAGAGCTAGGACCTCATTAGCTCAGTAATATGTCTTCCTTTCCAGTTTTAGACTATGTTGTAATAAAATGGGGCGATGTTATTGCTGCACTCACAATTGTCACGTTTTTTTTTTTTTTTTTTAATTTTAATTATTCTTCTTTATTCTAATTTATTTTCTCTTTTTCAATTTTAAATTTAACCTTTTTAAAACCATTATTCTTTTACTTTTATCAATCTTTTTCTTCAAATTTGAATCTCAGATCTAAGATTCTGTATCTTGTCCTGAAATGATGTTAGAGTCATTGGAATTAAAAATTTTCTCTAACAAAACTCTTAATTTGTGGGTAATTTGTGAAA